TCGTTTTTCTCGAGACATGCCTAGAGGAGAAGGAACTGGAGAAAAATGCACACAAAATCGCAGTCTGCTATGACACGAACGGATCAATAAGTGACCAAGTGTACAATGTAAAAAACTCAAAAGTTGCTGGTGGCATCTTCATAACAAATTACACTGACTTGGAATTCTACCTCCAAAGCGAATTCCCAGTTGTGTTTTTGAACTTTCAAGATGGTGATAAAGTTTTGGAGTACATCAAGAATAGTCATTCACCAAAAGCAAGACTTGAATTTCAAGTGACACATCTTGGTGCTAAACCAGCACCAAAAGTTGCTAGCTATAGCTCAAGGGGACCATCACAAAGCTGCCCTTTTATCCTCAAACCTGATCTGATGGCTCCTGGAGCCTTAATATTAGCTTCATGGCCTCAAAAATCACCGGCAACTGAAATTAACTCGGGAGAGCTTTTCAGTAACTTCAACATCATATCCGGTACATCAATGTCATGCCCTCATACTGCTGGTGTAGCAGCACTTCTGAAAGGAGCACACCCCAAATGGAGCCCTGCTGCCATCCGGTCGGCCATGATGACCACAGCCGACGCGTTGGACAACACGCAAATGCCCATCCGAGACATCGGTCTCAAGGATAATGCTGCCAGTCCCCTAGCCATGGGAGCTGGCCATATCAATCCAAATAAGGCACTAGACCCCGGACTTATCTATGACATTACATCACAGGACTATATCAATCTCCTCTGTGCTCTAGATTTTACATCTCAACAGATAAAAGCCATTACAAGGTCCTCTGCTTATTCCTGTTCCAACCCATCATTGGACTTAAACTATCCATCATTCATAGGGTATTTCAATTATAACAGCAGCAAGTCAGATCCTAAAAGGATACAAGAATTCCAGAGGACAGTGACTAATGTAGGAGAAGGTATGTCTGTATATACAGCCAAATTGACCTCAATGGATGGATATAAAGTTACTGTTTCACCTGACAAGTTGGTTTTCAAAGAGAAGTATGAAAAGCAAAGCTACAAGCTAAGGATAGAAGGTCCATTGCTAGTTGATAATTATCTTGTATATGGTTCTTTGAGCTGGGTGGAAACTAGCGGTAAATATGTTGTAAAAAGTCCCATTGTCGCAACTACCATAAGAGTGGATCCTCTGTGAGGACAGAACTGATTATAAGTCCTGTATTCTGAAAATGTGATACAGTAATGAATAATTGTTAAGTAAAATCAAAAAAATTCTTTTCAGTAGTTAAAACTAACTTGCTGATTGATGCATAAAAAAAATTCAAATGATTCCTTTTCTCAATGTCATAACAGAAGTGGATTAATTTTGAACTCAGAACAGATATAATTGAATTATTAGGGGGGCAATCTTTATCCAAGACAAGACAGCTTGGAAATAATTCACGTATCTATTGTTAAGAATTAAGGAAATACAAGAAATAATAGAGAACGTCTTTTCATCCTCTACAGAAACTAATCAGACATTAAAAAAGACACTCTTCTGTTTTCTGATGATCAAGAAAACAGCAGTTGATGCATCAGGACAGAATGCATGTGTGTTTCAATCACAATAAAACAATATGGATTAGAAGATAAGGCTCTTTTTGCTGTCAAGAATGGTTAATGTTCTCTTACACAAATCTTGAACATAAGGATATATCATATATGGATCATACAGTATTCAAGATATTATATTATTTGTTCAGTACAACATGTGTTGAACTTATTTTCAGATCCTTCCAAACATGAATAAATAGTGTTTTGGTCTGTGACATGAAAAGGTTTAGCATAGGACTGGAGTTCAAACTACAGTTGAACTACTAACTGTCAGTAAAACTTAGGAGGATAGTCTAGAAGAAATATTTATCTCAATGCCTAACAAAGACAAATAGATCCTCATTAAGACTTTTCGTTGTCTGTATACCTCACTAATTTGATCATTTGTTTAATTTCTGTGCACCGACGACATTGTATTCTTTTACACTATCTGGTTAAGGTGGCCTACAATATATAAGTAATCAACTACATAACCTAATATGACCAACTAAAATGCCCTGATTATTAAGCTAACTCCTTTGATCATTACAGCAACTAGTGTTGGGTTTTAAGCCTTTAATATGGCTTAAAAGAGGGTGAATGGGAAATGAAATTTTTAAGTGAAATTTTAAGTTTCTCCCCCTTGACAAAGGGACATTGTCCCATATTGGAAGAGAAAAGGTTTTTGATGAGTATATAAGCAATTGCTTTTCTTCTGGCTCTTAAAGAGTTGAAAAGAAGGCAAGCCCCACGCCGCCGTCGTCGCTCGGCTTTGACTTCGGATTGGTCAAATGATTGATTGATTAATTTTTTGGACCAAATTTATTTGTTAATAGTAAATATTAACAGAATTGTTATTAAATATTCGTTTTAATACCAAAATATTAATATTAATATTAAAATCCAACGGAACCGTTTTCCGTTTTTCAGTTGTGTAACTGAAAATTAAACTTCCCTCTTCAATTCCCGATTTATTATTGTATAAATTAGCCATTTATGTTATGGCATTTATGCTATGGCTGTTTTGCATAAACAGCCATTCTCAAGAGTTGCACCTTTTCAGTTTTCAGCCCAACATTGGCTATAAATACAAGTCCATCCTCTCAGAATTTCCATACGTTTCTGAGTTCTCCTCCTTTCTTCTACGTACTTTTAACTTCAAAGAAAGCAACAGTAAGTGTGATTTGCTACCAAACTTTGTGTTCGTTGAAACACTGGGGTTTGAAGTACCACTACACTAGTGTGTAAGTCGTTCTATCTTGGGAGGAAATAATCCATAACCTTGGGTACTAGGAGGGGATTAAATTCCTTAAGGAAACACTGTGAATTCAGTGGGCTCGGATTAACTTTTGTTTGGTTTACATTTTCTGTTTAAATATTGTTCTATCTTTTCCAGAATTAGTATACAAATACAGTTTACTAACAACTAGAAAATAAGCTTCGTTATTTAAAGTCAATCACATATAACATATTAGAACAAGTTAAATTACACTTACTGTGTAACTTATTTTAATTGTCTGTAGATTAATCTTAACACATCTCTTAGGAGAATGAAATTGTGGCCAGTATCGCAGTTTTCTTATACCAAGGGATATATATATATATATATATATAAAAGAAGAAAAAGGAAAATAATTTTTACCCTATTTACACCCAAGTGCCTCTTCCCCTGGTTGTGGCAACTCTAGAACACAATTCAAGTAAATAAGATGATTAATCTTAACAACAAAATTAGGAGAATGACCTTCTGACAACTTCAGAAGATAATTAAACTCAATAACAAATCATAATACCCACAGGCACATTTAAATTCTCCTATACTAATTCCACTATTTACAAAAACATTGCAGGAAATAAAAGTTGATTCGGAAGAGCTTACCTTGCACTATGTGGCTCGTATAAATATTTTTTTATAGCCCACAGAGATCGTTGTTTGCCTTTGAATATTTTGTTTTAATTAGCAAACGTAAGTTGAACGGAAACCTCGTATCACATTACTCTCAATATTTAAAAGTAAATAAGTTTCAAATTTGTTTTTCTGCTAACCATGTCATTCATGAAAAAAATTGCACAAAATTCGAAGCTAAATAACCGCCCATCCAACCGTTCAAGTAGTTGGCGAATGTGAATATATGTATTTATAATTCATATGTATATAATAGTATAATCCGTGAAAAAAATTGCACGATTGCGGATATTGGGCCCAGCTGATTGCGGCTACAACCTTGCTACTCCAGTAAAGAAAGAAAAAACGAATATTAGAGAAACACAGACAAAAGAACAGGAACAAAAATATGCTAGGGCCTAGGAAAAACAAAATTACCCCAAAAAATCCTCTGTCTGACATTTTGAAATCTGTGTGGCTTATGTGTTTAAAATCTGTATTTATTTCTTAAAATTCGTTTTCGATCAATCACTTCACATACAATGAGAGGGAGGGAGTACAAGAATATGTCAACTATAACCGATAAATTTACATACACCAATACTTTGTGTCAACCTAACGAATGCAAGGCACATACACTGAATTTGAAATTTAGAGTTTTGTTTGGACATAAATATAATTTTGTATTGTTTTTTAAGTTTTGTGAGTGATCTGAGCGAAAATTTTGAAAAATAGCATTTTGGAGTTTTTCAACTTTTCGAAAAATTCCAAAATGCATCTTCAAATGAAAATTAAAAATTTTATGAACAAACACTGATTTCGGAAAAATTAAAATTTTTTTTGAAAAAAACAAAATATTTCTTATATCCAAACGGGCTCTAAATATTAAAACATGAATAAGGGTAAAATTGTCAAAATTCCATTATAATTAATTTTTGTTAACAACTTGTTTGGAAGGTTGTTAGCTATCGTATCGTATCGTATTGTTACTTTAAATACAATGTTTGTTTTGATTGTTACTTAATTAAATTTTATTGTATCGTATCGTTAAATCCGTTGTTACGTAACGATGAAATGTGCCACTTTATGTAACGACCGATTTGGTGTGGTCGCGTTGTTTCCTTGTGTTTTTCTCTCAATTTCACCCTTCATTATTATTAAATAATTTTATTTTATCATTTACCCTACCTTTTTATATACCGTATCATAATTTTTCTTTATAATATTGCAAGTTTATTCATCATATCACAGGTGCGTGATACCATGAAACGACGCCAAAACGACACAATCCATCCAAACATTGTATTTAGTAAACGATACAGTACAATACAATACGATACGATACGATATATTATGAAACGATACATAACAACCATCCAAACAAGGTGTAAAGGATCGTGTATAGGAGAATCATGACAAGGTATCCACTTTTCAATCTTCCAAAGATCCTATGACACACACATAAAATGTCCTCTTTATTTTTAAGTGTCATGATCTTTGACTTGCTCTTCCCACTTGTTTCAACTTTAGAAGAAGCTTTGAAATTCTGGGTGCCCCTTGTTTGCTTGTAGCGTCCATTCTAAGCCAACTTTCAACCAACCTTTTTCAGTTGACTGATATTGATTTTCATGTTTGTAACATTAGTTCTATTTTGGAAGGTAGAAATGGGCAAGAAAAAGCTTTTAGATTGGACTGCACGATCCATAATGTCTACGGGAACCGAAAGAGTCTCCCTATTAAAAAAAGATGTAAGCTTTCTCTTCTTTTTTTTTTTTGCTTACTGATATAAAACATAGTAGAATATATAGTAGTAACAAAAATGAAGGCTTTCTCATGAATTTTGTTCTTTTCTTTTTTCTTCTTGTTTTTGTTTTCTCTTTGGTGCTGGAATTTTTGCATGTTGAAATCCTTTTGTCCAAGGTGCTTGTTTAGTAACAAGAGACCGTGATTATGTTTAATAGATCATTTATTTTGTTAGTTGCAAAGATAAAGAAGAAAAATTCTGAATGCTGGAAGTTACAGGTGTTTCAGTATATGTGTAATTTCTTTTTGTGTTTATATATATACTATTAGGAGTGGCAAACGGGCGGGTCGGGTCGAAAAGGGTAATGAAAAACAGATAAATTATTCAACTCGATCCATATTTAATACGGATAAAAAATGGGTTAACCGGCGGATAATATGAGTAACCACACTATCCATGACTTATTGCGTATGATCACTTTTAAGAGAATTCTTAGTCTCCCTAACTTGAGAATAAAAGTTAGACCCATTGATTATTCATTTTCTAAATGGATAATATAGTTCTTATCCATATTTGACCCATTTTAAAAAAGTTCATTATGCAACCAATTTTTTAGTGGATAATATAGGTGGTTAAATATTTTCTTTTAACCATTTTGCTACCCCTATATACTATGAGTATATGTTATTGAATCTCTTTACATAAGGGAAGTTTCTGGTGAAGGTGATGTTGGGTGTGCGAACAAAGTACCACATTGGTAACTGAAAGATTGGGAGCCTACATATAAGATGTAGGGATCTCTTAGTGGTGTGAGACTTTTTGGGAAAAACCTTGCGGGCATAAAGCGGACAATATCACACCGTTAAGAGTATCTTTAGGTCATCTTAGCCAATGGGTGAGACAAAATTTAATTAGGTTCAAATCCCAGATATGACATTCTTGCTCGTTTTCTGAATCCCCTTGTTATAATTTCTGGCTGCGCTACTAGACGCAGTAACAGCCGTTAGATAGCTGGGTGCCATGTGTTACCTGAAGCATTAAGCGCAAAGTTGTGATCTTAGAGGTCGTTTGGTAGAGTGCATTAGAGAAAATAATGCATGCATTAGCTTTGTGTATTAGTAAAACCTTGTTTGGTATACTTTTTCAACCTATGTATAACTAATACAAGCATTAGTTATAAATCCTATTTGGTATTATCCTATGTATAACTAATGCATAGCAAAGCCATGGTATTAGCAATACCAAGGCTATTAATGCATGCATTAGCATGGTTAAAGGCAATATTATCCTTAAAGTCCCTTAAAGCTAAAGAATATGGAGGACATTTTTGTAAATAAATAATTTTCTTAAAAATTATGCAAGGGATATCAATTTTAATATGCCACACCAAACAATGAATAAGAAATAATCTCTGCATAACTAATGCTTGCATTACTAACCCATGCATTACTATTCCCTGCATTACTAATACACCTTATTCAGCACTATTCTTATACACCCTACCAAACGACCCCTTAATTTTAAGGTGTAGGACTTGCTTCCTACATCAGAAGTATGGAATTTTACTGTAGGGTTCAATAGTTCATATGATATTTGGTTCCCCCTTTTGTGTTCTCTTTTAATTTAGAAAGGCACTCTTTTTTTTAAAGCTTCTGCTACTTCATATATGCTGTTGACCCGAGCAGCACTTAGTAAATGGTTTTGTGTGTGGAGAAGGAATAATGAAGTGTGCTGAATGCTGAGCTCAGTAAAAATTCTTATATATGTAGATACACAAACATAAATATACACTTTTTTAGGTTCGAATTGGTCATAAAATGAGTAGAAGTAGTTGCTGACATTTGCTGAGTGCAACACTTTTAGGCTCGGGTGAAGACAAATGAAGAAGGCACTTCTAGTGGTCCTGGGACAGATCTTGAGCATGGAGAAGCAGAGGTGATTACTTTTTCTGCTAGCTTGTTCGCTTTTTTTCTTATTTAAAGCAGCTCCCCAGTGTAGATTTTGACAAATTGTGCTTGAATTCAGGCTGCCAATGTCGGATTTTGTAGAGTATTTCTTCTGGTGAGTACTCAAAAATTCGAATGTCAGGTATTCTATTTTTCATCAATACTGCTGACAGTGTTTGATTTCAGGCAAAGCCAGATGCAGGAAAGCTAATTTTTGCTACTATTGCATTGCTGATAGCATCAATAACAAACCTTCTCATAGTATATCACTCTCATTCCACTTTTGTTACACTCTCTTAACATCTCATCGCATTAGAGTTTTGAAAATGCTGAAAGTTGGTTTATTTTTAGTAATTGAGTTTCACACTTTTTTTTATTACTATACCTGAAACTTAAACCAATATTAAGGAGAGATAAGAGATCACATAAAGCATGTAGTACCTATTTCAATGTCAACAGTAAGATTCCACTAAAACTCAGTTGTGGACATCCGCCCTTTGCCAGTCTTCTTGGATCTACTATTGATGCTGTACTTTACTCATTGCAGCCGAAATTTGGTGGCATGGTAATTGACATTGTATCTAGAGACATACAAACCCCTCAACAGCAAGCTGAAGCATTAGAAGCCGTGAAAAACACGATAATGGCTATTATCTTAATAGTTGTTACTGGGTATGGGAATCTCTGCCTTTTTTCTGTCATTTATCTTGTACATCTATCAAGTACCTATTAAAATCCTTGCTTTGTTTGCTCTGTGAGATTGTTACTCTTTCCTTACTGGATATGGTATCTTGAAGAGATGATACATTTCCTAGAACTGAACTCCATCATTTTAGACTTGATAGCACTTACGAAGAGGTTCCTTCTAAGTTCTAACTCAATTTTCAGAAGTGTTTTTTGAAGAAATAGGCGCACGCTTAGGCTAGATTTTTACTGTTTTAAGTTCACCAATTTTTTCATTTCATAAGAGTAAAATATAAAATGAGGCTCTGAGATTCAACGCTGTGGAGGACCTGCATGCGACCTGTCAATGATTCCTTATCAATTCCTCATCTCAATGAGACCTACTGCTGTTTTGTGGAAGTACCCTCTGAGGCATTAGTGTTGTAGGACACATAAGACATGGAAAAGGGTTCCACCAAAATATGCAAATGTTGATGTGTGGTCTGGAGACTAGTGGCGGAGGCAGGATCTCCACAAAGGGGGTTGAAATTTTTTTTTTTCTAGCTAGTGGGAATTGAACCCATGACCTTATGTAGATTTTGAACACCCTTGACCACTAAACTACACTTTTGGATTGTATTAAGGGTGTTCAAAACTTAATATATAGAGGTAAAAAACAGATTTTGCCTTATATATACAGTGTAATTTTTCGGCGAACTTGCGCCCCCTAAATCCGCCCCTGCTGGAGACCCATAAATAAGTAATATGCCTTGTCCAAATTTTGTCGTAGTGAACTCTTTGATTCTCATTACAAGATACTGTAACATGGTTGCTGCATTTTGCATACTTTAGCTTGTTTTTTTTTCTCCAAAGTTTTCATGCCTTGAAAATATTCTTTTCAGCTCTCTATCCACTGCATTACGGTCATGGTTGTTTTCTTCCGTCAGTGAGAGGGTTGTTGCTCGTCTGAGAAAGAATTTGTTTAGTCACCTTATCCAGCAAGTAAATTCCTCCTTTCTTCTCCCACTTTTTCATGTTTCTCTTTATTCTTCTCAATGATTGCACACAATCTTTTCTTTTGAAGTACTTTTTACTTGACTAAGGCCACAGCACAGCAAAACGTCTTGGTTCAGAGTTGAGCCACTTGTTTCTGCTTGATGATTTATAGTTCTTATAGGAAATAGCCTTCTATGATGTGACTCGGACAGGGGAACTGTTAAGCAGGCTATTAGAAGACACCCAAATTATAAAAAATGCTGCAACCACCAACCTATCAGAAGCTTTAAGAAACCTAACAACTGCACTTATTGGGATTGGATTCATGTTCTCATCTTCCTGGAAGTTGACATGTGAGTATCTCTATAATCAAGATTCCCACGCCCCCACTAACTACCCCCACATACTACTACTCCTCATTAGTGATCTGTCACTTGGTTAGTGCTGTCTCTGGTTGTTGTGCCTATCATTTCCATTGGTGTTCGTAAATTTGGACGCTATATGAAGGAGCTGTCACATGAAACTCAAGCAGCTGCTGCAGTAGCTGCCTCCATTGCTGAGGTTGGTATTTACTTCGTGCGATTTTACAATCGCATGCCTGTAGTTGCCTTTTTGAGACCATGCTTCTCTTGAATTTGTAAATATGTAGGAATCTTTTGGGGCCATCAGAACAGTGAGATCATTTGCAAAAGAAAAATATGCAATATCAGGCTACTCAGAGAAGGTTGATGAGACCCTAAAGCTAGGACTTCGACAAGCGGTGAGCATACTCGTGAATTGATTCTCCTTTACTTACAAGATAATGGATATTAACTTAATTAGTGAGTTTTGTTTGTTACCATGTTTCGGTTACAGAAAGTGGTTGGTCTATTTTCTGGAGGGCTGAGTGCAGCATCAACTTTGTCGGTTATTATTGTGGTGATTTATGGAGCTTATTTGGCTATAACAGGCTCCATGACTGCAGGATCTCTGACATCCTTCATTCTTTATAGCCTCACAGGTAAATAATCCCATGAGTTTTCCTTTTCTTTATATTGCAAATCGAGTTGGCCAGGAGAAGGAATGTTATTAAAAATGGTGTAATGTGGAATATTTAGAGAAGCCATTCCATTTCCTTTTCTTTCACCTAAAACAGTAACTAGCTAAAAATTTACTTGAGGAACAATCCTAGCAGCTACCTCAATAAGATTTTGATAGATGACATGCTTAAGAAAAGCTTTACAAAATATACGTTACTCAGATATTATATCCGGTGCTGGGGATTTCTCAGGATTTTGTTCTGTCATATTAGACAGTGACCATAACCACTTGATTAGATGTAGCTTCTGAATATTCTCAGCTTTCATTCTCAGAGTGACCTTGTCGTCTTGATATAATAAAGCATACACTAGAAAAATTACGTGGCTGTATACCTATGTTTCTGTGGTCTGCATATCTGTAATGCTTCCCCACACTTGTCTTTATCATGTAATGGTAAGTTTAAATTAATCATCAAACCTAGAATGCACATTTCCTGAATTCTACATAGTTCCATACAATCAGTTGCATTTCGGTTTATTACATAAAAGAAAACGATGTTTGAATTATGAGGCCTCATTCAAAACTGAATTCCTTGCAGTTGGATCCTCGATATCGTCTCTATCAGGTTTATATACGACAGCGATGAAAGCTGCAGGAGCAAGTAGGAGAGTTTTTCAGCTTCTAGATCGTGTCTCAAGCATGCCTACATCAGGAGACAAGTGTCCTATAAGGTTAGTCCGTCCTTCTTCAACCACGAACAGCATCCTATGGATAGCTGGTGGTTAGAAGCTTGTATCCCACTGGTGATTAATTACATGTTGTGAAAGTTAAGACCCATAGAGACACTTCTTGTTACATTTTGGCTTTTAGTGCAGTGACCCGGATGGAGATGTTGAACTGGATGATGTATGGTTTGCTTACCCATCTCGCCCAAGTCATATGGTACTCAAGGTAAAATTTTAGTTTTTTCGCGTATCAACAGTGACATTGACATACGTAAAAGATATCAGAAACAATCTTTTGTCCTATCATAATTTGATGCAGCCAAGTCATAGTATCTAACCTGATACTCTTAGTGTTTTCTTTTAAACTTTGAAATGCGCCTAGAAGTCTTTATGGTGTGTTCACAGTAAAGTTAGCTAGTTTATTGTTTGGAGGATTAAAAAAGGAAGCCATTTGAAGATGTAAAAGTTGGTCGGGAGACTTAAAAAACAACTCTTATGCAGAGCATCTATTATTTTTGTTTTCTTTGGATTAACAGGGTATATCGCTAAGATTGAGACCAGGATCAAAAGTTGCCCTTGTTGGTCCGAGCGGTGGAGGAAAAGTAAACTTCATATGTACACAATACTTGGTAATGTGATCTTATGAGGTTTGTGATGATAAACTTTTATCCTAACAAGCTCGTTGTTGGATTACAGACAACCACTGCTAACTTGATAGAGAGGTTCTATGATCCACTTAAGGGGAATATACTGCTCAATGGGGTTCCTTTGGTTGAAATATCACATGAATATTTACACAAAAAGGTAATATGATCTCATCATCTACGATTATCTCCATATCTTATAGAAGGCTCTCCTTTAATAATTCAAATGTGTTGTGCCTGCCATATTGAGCTGTCTGTCCAAAGGCTAAATCAACAATATTAGTACTAATCAACGTATCATTGAGTAGTGGTCTTCAAATTTCTAAAATATCCAAATCCTAACTTCTACAATAATTTAGATTAGCATAGTGAGCCAGGAACCTGTTCTTTTCAACTGTTCAATACAAGAGAACATTGCATATGGGTTTGATGGCAAAGCAAGCAGTGCTGACATAGAAAAGGCAGCGGTAAATTCAATTTCTGTCCCAAAATTCAAGACTTGTTACACTTTCACTCTGTTTTCACCCAAAAACATGATTCGTCTTTGTCAACTAATAATGGTGCAGAAAATGGCTAATGCTCATGACTTTGTAGAATCCTTTCCGGGTAAATATCAAACTGTTGTCGGAGAACGTGGACTAAGGTTATCAGGAGGGCAGAAGCAAAGAATTGCAATTGCCAGGGCCCTGTTGATGGACCCTAGAGTTCTACTTCTTGATGAAGCCACTAGTGCTCTAGATGCTGAGAGCGAATACCTTGTACAAGTACGAACTTTCGACCTTATATATGCTCATATTTCCATATTATATCCCTCCGTTTCAATATATGGAGTCTTACTTTCCTTTTTAGTCAATTTACAAAAGAGTGACACTTTCCTATATTTAGTAAGTTTCTAGTCATGCATTCCCATTTTTCCGTTGATGAACAGTCCATTATAGGAACGACATGGCATGCTTAAGACTACATAATTAAAAGGGTTTTTTTGGTATGTTATAGATTCCTTAGTTTAACACCACAAGATACATAAGTCTTCCTTACCTTCTTAAAACTTGGTGCTCGGTCAAACTAAGATAGAGGGAATACGCTTCCAAGTATGCAGGTTGATTTTCTTACTAGAAAATCTTTCTGTTAAATTGATGTGTCAATGCTAACAGGATGCTATGGATTCTCTGATGAGAGGCAGGACAGTGCTTGTAATAGCACATAGACTTTCTACTGTGAAAAGTGCAGACATTGTAGCAGTTGTTTCTGATGGTCAGATTGTGGAAAGTGGAAGCCATGACGAGCTTCTGGTCATGGATGGAATTTACACTGCTCTTGTTCGACGACAACTACAAGCACCAACAAGCTGAAATGTACATCGCCTCGTCAGTAGAACTACATTAATAGGGATCAGAGACAACACAACATATGAGAATAAATCGTGTACTCGCCTGGCAAATTCAAGATCTACAGGCTGTTGTTATTGTGTGTTCATGTTGTATTGCCTATAAGAGTATACCTGAAAATCCTTGGAATGAGTATACATCTAAACAAATAAAATCAGTTACCCTTTTATTCTTTTCTCATGCCAGATATCATTGAATGCGATGTAGAGCCTTTACAATGTAAAATACTTTACACAACCAAGTTATTTAAAAGTTAATTACATATAATTGTTCATAGTATGGGTGAATTAATAGGGGTGTACAAAGGTCGGGTTGGTTTGGATTTTGCAATTACCAAACAAAACCAATTGTGTCGGGTTATTAAATCTAACGACCAAACCAAACCAATAAAACTCGGGTTCTTCAATCTCGGTTTTTCTCGGGTTTTCGGGTTTTTCGGGTTTTTTTCGGTAAAATCTTCGTAGCACAAAACATATAACTTGTGCTCAAAACATTTCTTTAATCCTAGTAAGATACAACTACATAAGGTATTTTTCAAGAAAATAATACAAAATATGAGATGTGTCATGGCATTATCCTAAAATATTCAACAATAAAGACAATAAAATTATGTAACATAAATATTGCTAATTAAAAAGCCATAATAAAAATAAACATAATCTAAAAGTACTAAGTCATGCTAAAATAAGTAGACTAATAAGGGAGTATTAATTACATGACTAAACGCTAAAGAAAAAATAAAAATAAGCTATGCATTTTTATCCAAATTATTGCAAAACAAAAAATAGATATTCAATACATTGCCGTTCGTAGGATTGAATTAAATATCTTTTGTTAGCATTAGTATTGATTTGATTTTGGTTTAGGCTTTGTTAGCATTATTTAAGTTACTAATATTAATGGCTATAAAACTTATTGGAACATTCAAAAGTTCTAAGTCCAACCTTGAAATAATATCTTAAAAGATAAAATTATGAAAAAAGTTTAAGAAATAATTATAAATTACATCACAATAAGTATATTTATATATTAAATATATCTAAAATTTCTATATATGTAATGTCGGGTTGGTTTGGTTTCGGTTTTACTTTCTTTAGTTAAAACCAAACCAAACCAATTATGGTCGGATTTTTTTTTTCCAACACCAAACCAAATCAAACCAAACCATAGTCGGTTTTTTTTTTCCAGTTTGACTCGGATTATCGGGTTGGTGCGGTTTATCGGTTTCCTTTGTACACACCTAGGTGAATAACGAGGAAAAGAGTGAAATGACATATTCGAACAAGTCAAATTACACTTATTTTGTAAGTTCTATAAATTGTTTGTAGATCAATCTTAACACGTCTTAGGAAAATAAGTCGTGTGGAAACTCTAGAAGATAAATAAAATACATAACTGATCACTGATTAATCATAACATAAATATTTGGAGAATGAACTTGTGGCAACTTTTGAAGATAGTTCAAGTCAATGATAGATCAGATAGATTTAATGGTACATCACGGACTGAAAACCTTACTATCTTCAACTCCACCTCTAGATATATAAGTGAAGAATACACGTCCAATAAATTGACATTCAAGTAACAAAAGAGGAGTATCTAGCTAGATGGTGCAGTTGATATTTTACATTTTAACTTAAAATCTCTGAATCTGCCTATGAGGATATGGTATTCTTTATATAGTACATGTCCTTATAAAGTTTGTGACAACCACCATCAAGGGCTGCAATGTGATGGATAAAATCCTTCCATCTTTTACAAAAGATTTCTGAGTTTAAGCCTCGAGAATGAAAAAATTTCTAATCGGGAGCTCTTCTCCATTAATGGGCCTTACGCGCGGCTTGACTCCGAATTAGTTGGAGCTTCATACACGGGTACTAAAAACCATGTGGAAAAAAAGAGAGTTTGTGACAGCCTCTAGTACGTTATTTTAGGGACACAAGAGGGGAGGTAAATTGTGCCTTTGCCGATTTTTTCGAACCAAAGAACCAGATTCTTTGATGTACCTAGAACAGATACAAATAGCTAGTAAAGTGTGGACTGTAAAGAACACAAAGATTTTTATATGGAAAACCTCCTTGCTCAAGGGAGTAAGAATTACGATCTATCCTTGTAGGATTCCTTCAAACTTCACTAACTTCAAGGAGCGACTATTTTAGGTTACGTTGTTGGGTGTGCGAACAAAGTCCCACATTGGTAGCTGAAAAGATTGGGAGTCTACATATAAGGTGTAGGGATCTCTTAATAGTGTGAGGCCTTTTGGGAAAAACCGTGCGGGCTTGGCCCAAAGCGGACAATATCACACCATGTTAAGAGTGTCATTGGGCCGTTTTAGCCCAACAACTGGTATCAGAGCCCAGGTTCAGCGGAACGAGTATGGAGATGGCGGAGTGAGGGTGCAGGTCGGTGCACACACAAGAAGAAGCTAGTTGCGGGCTTCGATTGCCATAATATTCTAACAATGTGGGTGGCACACAGTGAATCTCGAAAATTGACCCGTGGATCGTGGTAGTGGACCACGTGGAACTTAGTTCGAGCGTGAGATTGTTGGGTGTGCGAACAAAGTCCCACATTGGTAGCTGAAAAGATTGGGAGTCTACATATATGGTGTAGGGATCTCTTAATGGTGTGAGGCCTTTTGGGAAAAACCGTGCGGGCTTGGCCCAAAAAGGATAATATCACACCATTTTAAGAGTGTCATTGGGCCGTTTTGGCCTAAAGATTGCTGCAGATTTTTATTCAGCCCGATCCAACGGTTAACGAATCGGAAAACGTGATCTGAAGTTGGCTGGTCGGAATAAAAATCTGCAGCAAAATAAATATTTTTCTTCTCTCTTCTCTCTTGATGAAAGCTCTCTCTAAACCACTCTTATGTGCTTAAGTCTTTCAAAGACTTGTATCAACGAGCATATAATAATTCTCCAAGGTTGTCCTATTTATAGATCATGAGTGGTGCTTTCTCTTAAAGCCAAAACCCACTCAAAATAGGAATAAACCGAATCCAATTCCAAATAGGAATGGAAACCAAAAGAGAATAGGATTAGGCCATTGGGCCTTTGGCTGGACAATATGGGCATGAGCCCAACAAACTCTCCCTCCAAGTCAAGGTCCAAATACTATAATATTACATGCAACCACTGTGGCAAGAAAGGACACATCAAAAGGTTTTGCCGCAAGTTGAATCAAGACACTAGAGAAGAAAAGAAAGTTGAAAATAACGAGAACAATGTTGCTGCTATTGTTCGAGATGACCTTCTTTTTGCTTATGATGAAAACGTCATCAATTTGATATCCCATGAGTCTAGCTGGATAGTAGATTCTGGAGCTACCTCACATGTCACACCAAGAAAAGATTTTTTCTCATCTTATACTGCTGTTGATTCTGGAGTGTTAAAGATGGGCAATGCCAGTGAAGTTAAGGTGTTTGGTGTTGGTACAGTTTGTTTGAAAACTAATAATGGTTCAACGTTAGTTCTTCAAGATGTCAAGCATGCTCCAGACTTTCCTTTCAATTTGATCTCCGCAGGAAGATTAGACGATGAAGGTTACCATAATGCCCTCTTTAATAGCCAATGGAAGCTCACTAAGGGCTCGTTAGTAGTGGCTCGCGGAGTCAAGTTTGGTTATTTATATGTGGCACAGGGCTCTATTCTTAATGACTCAATAAATATGGTGGAAGGTGATACTTTATCAGAATTGTGGCACAGAAGATTGAGTCATATGAGCGATAGGGGGATTACGTGTTTGACTAAGAAAAGTTTGCTTTCTGGATTGAAACAAGCAAAGCTGAAAAGGTGTATCCATTGTTTAGCTGGCAAACAGAAAAGGGTTTCCTTTCATAGTCATCCTCCCTCAAGAAAGCCCGATTTATTGGAGCTAGTACACTCTGATTTGTGTGGTCCTTTTAAAGTAAAGTCAAAAGGTGGTGCACTTTACTTTGTGACCTTTATTGATGATCATTCTCGTAAGCTCTGGGTGTATCCTTTGAAATCTAAAGATCAAGCACTTGGCGTGTTTAAGGAATTTCAGGCCTTAGCTGAGAGACAGACGGGGAAGAAATTAAAATGTATTCGCACTAACAAGTGGTATCAGAGCGAGGTTCAAGACAGGTTCATCTTGGCGGGTTCAGTTCTAGCTGCAACATATTTGACGATAATCGTAATTTTTGTCTGAGAAATTTGACCGGTGTGCGACAAACGTTGAGACAAACTTCTTGGCGGAGATTTGGAGATACGACCTGTTGAAGGCTATGTGAAGAAGGTGGATCAAGTTTATTTTGTCAGAAAATTCAGGCCAACGGGGAGAATGTTAGGTGTTTGCCATAATTTTCTTACCATATTTGGTTTTCCTATCTCTTGAAGGAAAAGGGCAATATAATTACCTTAACTGGATTTTCCTTTTTGTAAAAGGAAATTATAAATCTCCAATATTTGGCTAGTCCTTTTTCTTGTAGGAAAAGGTTTGGACTTCTATAAATTGAGGATCCTTCCTTCACATTCAGTAGCATCCACAATGTAGCCATAGGGGGCTTGAGAGTCTTGTTTAGGGGGAGAACTTTACGGGACAAGTGTTAGTGTGTCACTTGTGTTTGCCTCTTCGTGAGGTTGTTCTCTCGATATTTTGTACTCTCTTTTATTATAGTGGATTGCTCATCTCCGTTGTGGACGTAGGTCAGTTGACCGAACCACGTTAAATGTTTGTGTCTCTTTTGGTAGACTTCTCTTTGTTGTGTGATTTATCGTCGTTCAACGTTTGCTTTGCTAGATTCCGCATGACACCTGATTTTTTCGGTCCTAACATACGTCTCTATAGCCAGGGAGACTAACACCAAGATATTTCCTTATTGCGCACGAACTGACTTCTTTCCGGAATTCAACTTGCACACTTATTCAATATTCACGTGTTTGATCAGCCCTGGACATCATTCAGCTGCAAAACTGGTTCTCTATCTCTTGTTATTTTCATATTATATCTGTTTACCAATTCCACAAAACTTGGTTCTTTTATATAACTGAACCTAGTATGTCAATTATCAAACATATTTACATTTCAACATGCTCAGCTCAACAGTACACTTTAGGCCAGAAGAGAGGGAATTGAAAAAGTAGGTGCATGGACTAAAAAAAGGAAACCACGAGCTAAAAGCTTGGGCTTCTAAAATTTCCATGCAAAGAAAGT